AGCACGCGACGCAAAGGGGTCAGCGGGAAGCAAAAGATAACGAGAACTGGGGAGAAGAAAGAGGACCGGAAGAATCGAGGAGGGAGAAGACCACAGAGCCGCGAAGATCACCGAATCCGGAGCCCCCCGGACCGGCGGCTCTGCCAGAGGCCATTACAATCACCACCCGCACTGCTGAGGGGGAACGTTTGAGGAAACGTCGAGCTGGAACCGGCGACACGTCACCAGCACATCGGCGGTAAGTCCCCCGATAGCAGATCCGCGCGCGCCTGGACGGGGTGGGCTACCAGGCCCCTATCAGCGATGAGTGGTCGATTGGGGGACGATGCGCGCCCCCGAAGCCTGTCCCACCCCAAACGTTGCCGGTTGGTTTCTGGGTCAGAACTCGCCTGTGCGGCAGCCGTTCGGGACAACATGGGCACCCCCGGAACGCTCTCGACGAGGCGCAGCCGCTGAAGAGCACCCCGAGGCTGGGAAGCCGCCGAGAAAGGACGAAAACGTCAGAGAACCTCAAACTTCGAAACTCGAAAATGCCCCAACTGAGCCTATCCCCCCGTAACGCTGCCCCTGACGAGGCCACCCCACCGGGCACCAATCACCCCGCAGGGCAGTACCTCCCCCCATCCTGACGAAAGGGGTTGGGACTGGGCTCCAAAGCGGGCCCGGCGGCGTCGCTGCCCTCTCGGAGGGAGCTCCAAGGAGCCCCGAGTGCAGTGTGAGAGGGAGAGACAGGGAGTTGGACGCCCGGAATGGATACCAGGAAAACGAGTACGATGCCCAAGAACACATGTTGTCAAGAACCATCAGCAGCCGCGGTTGGGCAGGCGGTCTTCTGTCTCAGATGGACAACGACCGCGGCGACGCTGACAACGAACCCTGCTCAGAATTAATAACAACTGCTGTCGGTTTTTGTACCCATTCTATCCGTACCCGTTTCGAGCGTTCCAGACGGGAGGCGGAAAAACAAAAACTGAAAAAACATGTATTCTCGAAGATTTGTGGTCGAAACATTAAAGATTCGGAGGTCCCCGCGGAGCTCCTGGGTCGGCGTCGACCACACCCACCCAGCTGACGCGCGAAGCGCGCCCGGGGCGGCGCCAGAGGCGCCGCCAGGGGAGGGCGCCAACACCAGCACAAAAAGTCCGTGAGGACCACCGAACATGTATGATTATGCGGTTTTCCTGCCATTCGGAAAGAGGGCGAAGAGAGCGGGAGAGAGAGAAACAGAGAGAAATGAAAGAGAAAGAGAGAGAGAGAGAGAAAGAAGGATACATTCGCAGGCCCAACGGGCCAAAGGCGTGCTAAGATCTCTGGTAACAGGTTAACAATATTTCTAATTCGCGCGCGCGCGGATGCCCTGTCAATGCAGATGTGATGTCTGCGTTGTCACGCTCACCTGTCACGGCGATGCACTGTGTGTACACAGTCCCCTAGCTACGACGTCGCATGGTCCAGAATGGCTGTATATAATATATATATATATATATAACTCTATGCAAACAGGCAAACATAGCAAAGGCGAGACAGACTCTCTGAACGCCGATCGTGTCCTACATGATTTACACGGGGAGGTCGTCGAAACTATCGTACTGCCACCCGTCGTAGTATTCGGCGTGTCGGGTCGGCATCTCGAAATCGCCGAAATCATCGTCGTAGTTCACCGATGGGACGAATGGTTTTCGTTCAACTCCGTCGTCCAGGATGTCCTCGCGGCCTTGCTGACGCCGCTTCTTTGCAGAAGTGAAGGTAAGATCCTGGACCAGACGCCAGTAGCCTCGAGTCCAGAAGTCTGCCAACACGGACCGAGCAGCACGCGATCCCTTCGTCAATCCGTCGGCTGGCAAGGCCTCCGAGTGGACCCAGCGCAACTCGGCGGCACCCTCCTCAATAGCTTGTTGGAGGCCGAGCGCCTCGAAGTCGGAGCGGCGGTCGTCCGCGCCCAGTCCTGCGCTCACGCTGCGGGCCAGTGCGTCGCATAGGCCCTTGCAGTCGGTGACCATCGTAGCCTGCGTCAGCTGTAGTGGGCCTCCGATGTTCCGCAGGTTGACACCGCCGTGCATCAGCTCCGTCCAGGCCATGCGCATGTAGGCCAAGTCCTCGTGGCACATGTTCCCCGACTGCACCTCGCATCCCAAGCTTGACCGGGTCACTCGCGGTAGCTTCTTCGAGGTAAAACTGCAGAAGGGATGCGGCATGTCTCTCTCCGTGTAGCAGAACTCGTTCACCCGCCCCGATGACGCAGCCTCCCGGCGATCTCCCATCCTTTCGGGCGGCCCAAGCCGCAGCGTGGAGGGCGATGAAGATGGGGCCCTTGGCGGCTCGGAATCACTGGCACTCGAGCTGTCTCGTGGGCAATGCGGGCCACCTTGCCGACGCGAGTTGCCAGCCCGTGCGTCGCGGTGTTGGTGTATGACGACAGTATGCTGGTGACTGCTGCAATGAGGCTCTGGCCCTGAGATGCCACGTACTGTAGGCCTCCGATGGCAGCTCGACACGCGGTGATCCCGGGGGCCGGCAGGGCGTCGTCGGCTCTCCCACTTCGACCACTCCAGCCCTCGAACATCTCCACCTTCGCGGCGGCCGCGGCGCAGGAGAGCGAGATGGAATGGTCGGCCAGCTGCGCCGCGTCCACGCCCGCTCGTCGGAAACATCAGGTCTCCCAGGAGCCCCACTGCCAGTGGTTGCGCAACTACTCGCGCTTCTACTTCGCCAGGTCGTTGTTCCCCCTGATGCCCAGCACGTAGTCGTCCACATGCGCGAGCGCGATGGCGACCAGACGGCCCTTGTCGCACAGGGTTCACACGCGCGGCTCCAGCTTATTGCTACCCAGCCAGACTCTGCCGTGCTCCTGGCGACCTCATCGACCCACTCCTTTGGGGCGTCGCACAGACCGCAGGCCTTCTCGAGCATCAGCACGACCTCGTCCTCCTGCGAGTCCATGGCCTCGCGCAGCTCGCGAACGGGCCCCACGAAAATGCAAGCGTCGGAGCTCTGAGACTGCAGGAAGGCCGCCTTCAAGTCGCCCTTGTGGGGGCCTAGGCCCTCGTTCGCGCAGACCTGGTAGGCCAGGTTCCTGGCTCTGACGGACGCGGTCGGGCTCGCCGTCACCATGTGTCCCAACCGTGGGTCCTCGAAGCCTAAGAGCACGATGCGGGCCTTGGCCTTCCCGTCCGACCTCACCGCCAGGTGCCAGCGCATCCTCGTCGGCCCCCCTGGTCCGGCGTCCGCTCTCCTGGCCGCCGCAATGACTTGGTTGGCCAGCCAGCCGTTGACTTCGGCGTTCTTGGCAGCCCTGAACTGCCCCCGCATGGCGCGGTCCAGCTTCCGGAGCACCACCTTCGGACTATTCTTCTTCACGGCGGCGGCGGCGTAGGCTGCGGGTTCCCGAGTGAACCTGCGCCAGGCCTTCTTGTCCGTCTCCTTGTCGGGGAGGCCGACGTGCACCTCGCACGCGGGGGACTCGTCGGAAATGGTGGCCAAGACATCTTCCATGTCGAACTCCTCGCGGCTCCTCTTCGGCGCCGGGCCTCCCTCGATCGCAGCTTCCTCTCGAGGCCGTACATATCCTCGACGGGCGGGGCGTTCTGCTTCCGGTTCTCGGGGAGGGCCCCGCGGGCCTCCTCTCGTCTCGCTGAGCCGCTGTCTGATGCTGAAGGGCAGGTCGTCCCTCGGGTCGCAGGCCCTCGCCGGCGGCGGGGGCGCTCCTCCGTCTCCTTCAGGCGCATCGGCTCCGCGCTCGGGCGAAGGCTCGCCGTTCCGGTTCCGACCTCCTTGGGGCGTCGGGCGTCGGCGTCTCGGCAACCCGGGAGACTCCTTCGTCCAGGGGCATGCCCGGCCCCATGTCCATGTTCATGTCCGAGTAGGGCGCGTCGGCGTCGGCCGGCTCCTCCAGCTGGTCACAGTCAGGATCGCTTTCCCCTGATGTCCACCACTCGGGAGAGTCTCTTCAGTGCCTGGTCCGCACGCTGGTGCAGGAGATCTCGGGCCCCTGTGCCCATCTCGATCACGGCGCGCTCGGCGTCGATCACCAGGCGCAGCTGCTGGGGAGCGGCTCGAAAGACCTGTCCCCCGAGAACCAGGATCACCACGCATCGGAGGCGTCATTCCTCCAGATATTGCCATAGGCGTGCGAGTGCAGTAGCTGGCCCAAGGAAACCCCCCTTGGACGTCTTGTTATTATCCTTGTCGGTTTTGCCAGCATGTCGCCAGATGTGCAAATGGTCTTCCACGGTGTACTCTTGCTGTGCACGGGCGCGCTTCACCGCTGCCAGTCGGGGGGCCCGGCGATCTGCCAGACTCTCGGCATATGCCGCGCGGGCCAGGGGGCGCCGTCGCACGGCCTCCTCCGCGGCCGACCCCGAGCGAGCCTCCTCCTGCAGAGGAACCACGGATCTCACCACCTCGCTGTCCAGGGGCCTCAGGCGTCGTCCAAGGACGATCTGGTCTGGGCTTCAGCCGGAGCTGTTCGGCATCTCGTTGTGGGCGGCCGCCGCCCGCGCGAAGAGCCCCATCGATGCTGCGCGTCGGGTCCACGTAGGCCAGCTCATGATGATGGGCTCCGCCCTGCCCGTGCTCACGCGTGCTCCGCCTGGCTCTGATTCCCACCGAATGTCGCGATGTGCGGCCCTCTCTTTGCTCGCGCGGGCCTCGTTCTCTTCAGCTGGGTCGGTGCGGACGCGCAGAGGGCGCCCGAAATAGCACTGAGCCCAACAGCGCACGAAAGTCCCCCAGGCCTCGCACGCATTGGTCTTGCCACATCCGCCTCCATCACGTTGCGCGGCGCACACGCGGGCCACCGCCTTCGCGCCGCCTTCGTCCGCCAGGAGAGCGCCTCGCGCCCGGGCCCCCGAAAGAGGACGAACCCAGTCGAACCCGCCCATCGCGAGTGCGCCCAGCGGGTCCGCCAGACTCCCCGACGCCGCGGGACGCAGCGGCTGCTCCTGAAACCGTTCGCAGGCGGGCGGCGCACTTCAGCTCTCAGGCTTCCCGTTGTACCCAACCGGGAGAAGGAACTCCTTGAATGCTCGAGCTCCAGGATGTCCCAACTGCGAGTGTAGTCGATGTAGCTTGAGACGCACCGACTTCCTCAACTCGCCCGTCGGGCCCTCCGTCTCGGCGTCATTCTTGATGGTCATGGCCTCGGCCTGTTCGGGGTGACCCTGGGTCAGCTCCCTCGGCGCGCCCTCGATCTCGCTCGCGCCAGCGGTGATCCCAGTCACTAAAGCGCGGACCAGCACCTCCCGGCTGAGTGCTCGGCACAGCGCCTCTGGGTACCTGGCAGAGTCTGCCGCCCGCTTCGACCCATCCAGCTGGCGGCGCTCGTGATCTCGAGGACACTTCCGCCCCAGGACCTCTGCTGCCCGCTGGTTGGGCACCGGGGACCTCCAATTGTTGCACGCGGCCTGGCCCGGCTCGCGGCCCCGCATGCCCCATGCACATCCGGCCGCGGTAACCTCGCACAGCTGCTCCCGGAAGTTCATCAGTGACTGGGCGGTCTTCCAGCTGGTGGCTTTCGCGGGCGGCTCGAGGCTGAGCTCGCAACCCCGGCCCAGCGCGCGCAGGCCGACCTCGATCAGGTTGTCCATGACTTCGGCGCCCCAGGCGATCGTCTTTTTCAGGCTCATGTTCTGCCGATCGCACTTCTGGTTCAGGGCCTGAAGGGCGGAGCACGGCGCGCGCGTCGGGGGGGCGCGTGCTCGTCGAGGCCTCCTGGCCTCGATGAGTGCCTTGGCCTTTGCCACCGTGCTGGCTTTTTGGAGGTCGTGCTTTGCTCCACAGGCCCATCCGGCAGACTGCGCCGCCCTCCTTCTCCACGGCCTGGCCCAAGGGGCGAGTCCTCAGGGCATCCGATCTCGAGCAAGTCCAGCTGCGAGGGCCTCAGTACCGCCAGCATGTTCTCTTTCAGCTCCGCCTGGTAGCCCTGCGGCGTCGCGACAACAGCGCGCTTCTCGGCGACGCTCTGGGCCTTCACCAGCGGGGTCGGATCCTTCGCCTGCCCCACCGACCCATGTGCTTTCCCAGCCGCCTCGCTGGTCCGTCCACGGACTTCGGGGGGCCGTTCCTGCTGTGCTTGAGGATGTGGCCACGAGAGCTCCACTTCTTCCGGTCCTGAGCGAGGGCCACGGTGGCCGGGCCCCCTCGCGCCCTGCGAGGTCCCCACCAGGTCCCCCTTCGAAGGCTCGCCGGCCCCCTCGGCGCATCGGCGGCGACTGTTCCGCACCTGCGGTGCTGGTCGCGTCTCCAGGGGGCCCACGTTCTCCAGGTGCTCGGCCGCTCGGTCGACGTGGGGGCGCGTGCGATCCTGCCCTGCGAGCTCCGCCCAGCGCCCCGCGAGGTTGCCGAGTCGCGATCGGAGCGCCGCCTCCTCGTGCACTGCCGATCTGGCCATCTCCTTGCAAACGTGGGCCACCTGCTCGGGGTTCGCCTGGGGGTCCGCGTCCGCCAGCAGGTCGCTGGCCTGCTCCAGCGCGTCGTAGTATAGCTCCTCGGGTGATAGGTCGTACTCATCCGATGCAGGGCGCGCCTCCACCGTCGGCCGTGACTCCGCGCTCGGCGTCGGCCCGGTGGACCCAGGGCGAAGCGAGACAGGTGGCTGTGAGCAGACAGGTCGGGCTGAGGAGGAGGGGGCCTCCTCTACGGGCGGGTGATCGCCCAGCTTCTCCCATTCCGAGTCGCTCTCCTCGCTGATTAGTTTGCCCTTGGGCACGAGGATATGGAATGCTCTGAGAATTCGTCTGGCACTCGAGCCCACGCGGCGACGGGCGCGACGGTGGGCCCAGGTTTCGAGGTGAGGACGTCGGACACCGCGGTTTTGATCGTCTGACCGTTTGACTCGCGGTAGGGTCCCCGATCGCACTGCCGTCTATCTCGCTCTAGGTGCTCGCTCGCGTCGAAGTCGATCTCGGTAACTGCGTCGGGGCACTCGTGAGGGCACTCGCTAGCGTCGGCATCGGTCGGGGCGCACTCGCCCCTGAAGTCGAGGGTGGAGATGGCGGTGGTGATGGGACTGATGCGCCCACTGTCGTGGTGGCCGCAGCTGGACGACGGCGTGAGCTGATGGCGGACTGTCTGCCCCCTCGGGGGCGCTGGCACTGTCGCCCGGCCCCGCGCTCTCCGGGCGCAGTCGCAACCCCTAGAGGAGAGCGGGGGGCGTCAGCGGCCCGAGCGCAAGGCCTCGAACCTCTCGCGGTGGCCGCCCGAATACTCAAGGTAGCCGTCGTGCGTCACGCTCGTCTCCGCCTCCTTCAAATAGTCCAGGCCCAGCAGCGTCGGGCACTCGGAGGGCGCGAGCGAGAACCAGAGCTTACCCCCTTGATCTCGCTGTCCCAGCGGGTGTGGAATGCCCCCTCGCCCGACGCCCATGCCCGTCGTGTTGTTGGCGTAGGCGAAGCGTGTCCGCTCATCGGCGTTCATCTCCGTCAGGTCCTGGCCGTGCGCGTCGTAGGTCTGCTCCCGAGCGAACTCGAAAAGCGCCAGCCCACTTATGGACTTGGTAGTTCCACTGTCCACAATCGCGTAGCCTCGGAGGTCAGCCTCAGCGAAGAAGCTGAAGCCCATCGCGATGCACGGGGAGATGGCCAGGACCCACTTGTCTTCACTCTCCCAGTGGGACACGCAGGAGACGGCGGCCTCCTCCAGTCTCATCGCCTGCCTCCTCGTAGCCGATGTTCATGCTCCCGTTGCCGTTGCCTCCCGTCTGGCACCTGGAAGGGCAATCCACGGCTCTGTGGCCAAGCTGCCAGCAGAGGGGGGCACTTCATGCCAACGCCTCGGCCCTGCTGTGGTCGCCCCGGTCGATTGCGAGCACGGCCTGCCGGGACTCCCGGGGGAGGCGGCGTACCCTTGTCGCCTCGGCCTCAGCCCCGTGGGCCCCCCCCGAGCGCCCTTGCCTGCGCCCTCCCGGGTTGGCCGCAGCGAGGCCAAACTCGCGACCGGGTAGTAGCCGCGGGCCCGGGAGACATCGTTGAGTTGCTTCCGGGCCTGCTCCCGGGTGCGGGTCGCTGCGTCCGCCTCCTGTGCGGCCAGAGCCTCGTGCTCCTCCAGCGCACCGACGTCCTCCTCGTCCGCCTGAACGTACTGGTCTGGCAGCAGCTCGTGGTTGATTCCCTGTTCGTCGTATGCCTGCAAGTGGACCTCGTCGGTGCAGTGGGCCGCGCAGTGGCTGCTCTGCTTCGTCTTCTTATCCCGCGCGGCCAGGTCATACTCTGCCCATGCGTCACGCAGGCGCCTCCTCACGTTCTCCAGCTTCCAGTCTCCCTTGATGGTGCTGCTCGCCGCGGCTCTCTCTGAGGGGTATAGGTTGCCGCTCCGCCAAAGGGGGACTCCACGCACGGCGCTCGGCAAAATGTCGCCCACGTCCAGCGTCAGCAGCTTGTGCGCCCGCTGTAGCTGATCGTGCACCTCCTCCTGTGTCTCGATCCACTGTGCCATACTCTGCCCCAGTCGCCGGGCCAACGCATTCCGACCCGGCCCTGCATAGAAATACGCGTCCGTCTTCTCGCCGATGTCGGACACCATTTGCGTCCCCAGCTCCCTCCTGAACGCATCTATCAGGTTGTTGGGGCCGTCCACCGTGGCGACCGACTTCGGCTCCAGCGGGGCTCCGTCCCGGTTGAGGCCAGCTTCTCGAGGCAGACGGAGAGCGAAGCGTTGCTGGGCGGAACCCTGCGGCAGCGCGGCCACCAGTCTGGGTCCCAGCAGTGACCTCACCTCTTTGGAGGAGCCTAGCGTCAACAGCTCCAGTGCAATGGCGTAGTCATCAAGCGTCTCGGCCTTCCCGTTCCACGATGGGATGGCCATGTCGGCGCGCAGCGCGATTGCTCCAGAGGTACCTGCCATTGCGTGCCAAGCCGCAGTTCTCGGAGCCACGGCTCCGCTACCAATGTCACTGCAGATGTGATGTCTGTGTTTCTCACGCTCACTGGTCACGGCGATGTACTGTGTGTACACAGTCAGTCCCCTAGCTACGACCGTAGCATGGTCCAAAATGGCTGTATATATAACGCTGTGCAAACATGCAAACATAGCAAAGACAATCCAGACTCTCTGAATGCCTATCGTGTCCTACATGATTTACATGCCCCTGGGGACCCGGACGACAAGTACCCCAGGCGATGCCCGGCCGATGCCCAGCCGACTCCCCCAGGGCGCTCCAGGAGCGCGCCCAGAGGGCGCTCGAGGAGCGCGCCCAGAGGGCGCCAGTGCGCCCCCTACATGGCCCAAGACTCCCCGAATCGCCGAAAGATCGCTCCAAGACGCTCAGGATGGTCTCCAGATGGTCCCAGAGGCCGCGAAAAAGCCCCAAGAGGCTCTCCAAGAGGGCCCAAACAAGCAAACATCGACCCGTTCTCATCGGAAAACGTCCATTTCTCGCGCTACGAAGTTTGGGGGTTCACAGCGTCCAGAACTGCCCCAGAGGCCTCCAACATCGTCCCCAGACGGCCCAACACACCCCCAAGACGCCCAGGAGGGCCCCAAGACGGCCAAGAGGACCCTGAAATGGCCCCGAGAAGGGCCCAAGAAGGGGACTTGGAACCGAAAAGTCCAGCCTTTAGCCCCAAGAGGCCCCCAGGAGGCCCTAAGATGCCCCCTAAGAGGCCCCAAAGGGCCCCCAAGAGGCATCCCAAGAAGCCCCAAGAGGCCCCCAAGAGGCCCCAGAGGCCCCAACACGCCCCCCAAGAGGCCTCAAAACTGCCTCCCAGAGGCCCCCGAGAGGCCAACCACGAGAGCTCAACCAACATCCATGAGGCCTCTGACCAACCACCCACCGCCTCTGGAAAATGGCAGCCGCCCAACGGCACCGCATTGACAACAACACCCCGACAAACGACAGTGGCGAGGCAAGATGGGCCGGCGGAATGAGCAAAGCAACTAATACACACATACGTCTGTATATATACACATATGAAATAAGAAAAATAAATAAAGAGAAAGAGAGAGAGAGAGAGAAATCAAAGAGAGAGAGAGAGAGAGAAAACAAAAAAAAAAAAAAAAACATGGCGAAAGACCCAGCCGTATGCAGTTGTGAGTAACGCGTTGTGGGCGCCGCTTTCGGTGGAACTCCCCATGGGGCCACGAAGCGCGTGAGGGACGTGCCGTAATGGGTGGGGGAGACGCATGCGGGCGTTGCCACTGGGGCCTTCGGTGGGGCTCCCTATGGGCCACGAAACGCTGTCCTGGGTGTGGCTGACGCATGCGGGCGGTGCCCCTCGCTGGAACTCCCGATGAGGCCACGACACGCTGTATTGGTTGGGGGAAACACATGCGGGCGGTGCCGCTGGGGTCTTTCAGTGGACCTACGGGGCCACGAAACGCTGCAGTGGGTGGTGGCCGACGCATGCGGGCGGTGCCACTGGGGGCTTTCTGTGGAGCTCCCTACGGGGCCACAGGAGGGGAGGCGCATGCGGGCGTTGCCACTGGGGCCTTCGGTGGCCACTGGAGCTCCCTACAGGGCCACGAAACGCTGTACCGGGTGGGGGGGGCCATGCGGGCGGTGCCACTGGGGCTTGGTGGAGCTCCCAACCAATGGGGCCGCGAAATGCAGTACTGGGTGGTGGACGACGCATGCGGGCGATGCCACTGGGGTCTTTCTGTGGAGCTCCCTATGGGACCACGAAACGCTGTATTGGGTGTGGCGAACGCATGTGGCCACCCC